CTACACAATGAAAATAACACAAATATTCTGTATGCACTGTATACACACATCCATATCAGTACATGAATATGTGTATGTCAGGGCCTCTGTCATGAAGGAAAAGCTATAGTGTGCTTCCTGGGAAAGAGTCGAGCTCCTGGGGCCTAACTCCTGGGTCTCCTGACTTGTCACTTGAAAAGGATACTTAAGTTCATAGCAGAGCTCAGCTTCTCACTCAGTAAAAATAGTGCCACAGAAGAAGAGCCGCCAGGACATAAAGTCTCCAAAGTGCCTTGAAATTAGGGCAGTATGGACCAAACAACATTAGCATTAAATGTGGATCACGATTCTAGCTGTCAGTTGGGCAGATTCCTGAGAAGACGTGGAAATACTATTTGTGACTCGGTGATGCAGACATTCCCCCTCTCGCCCACTGGCCTAAATGCCACAACTGACTAACACTTTAGGCCCTTAAGGTGGAGAGTGAGCATCCTTAATCAGAGATGCACCAGCCTAAACGTATGCAATCCCAGACCACATGGATCCCAAGAGAGTCCTGGGTGAATCGTGGTGCAATTTACACTAATACACATGGGTGGCAAACCTCAGAAAACCATCACCTCTTCAGATTAAAATAAGTTTATTTCATCTAGGGGAGCCATGTGAGGGACCCCAACAGGCATTTCGTTCCATCACAATGGAGACCATTTCAGAATTTCTCTGCATTAACATCTGTCTAGTGTCTCACAGTTCACTAGGCTACATGCTGAGCTGCAGAGCAACCAGAGGGGCCAGGCACACAGTAGGTACACAAATCTTTGTAGCCTGAAAGAGAAATCAAATCAGATAATTGAAATGAATTTAAATAAAGCAGGGAGTTAACCTGCCATCTATTGTTCAACCAGCTCAGGCAAGAGAATAAGCCCTTCTAGCAAAATTCTCTGCTGCGATAGGGACTTACAATGTAAGCCAGGCAGCAAACATTCACTTGAGCAAAACTTAAGTCAGAAGATGACACCGGATACAGTACCAGACAGGAAGGAGAAACATCTTCCCTTCTCCCCCTCCCATTCATTCTTCCAAAGGAGTATCTCCCTGAACCCAGGTGTCAAAGCCTTGGCTAGATGCACTATGAGTCAACGATGAGGAAACCCACAGCCCATCATCACCATTCAGAGGGGAAGACAGATGAAACAGACACAAACAAACAAACTGTCCTGCAGGCCGATAACTACACAGTGTGTGCGCATGCGCTTAGTCACGTCTGACTCTTGGCAACGCCATGGAGTGTAGCCCGCCAGGTTCCTCTGTCCATGGGATGCTCCAGGCAAGAATACTGGAGTGGGTTGCCATTTCCTACTCCAGGGGATCTTCCCGACCCAGGGATCAAACCTGCGTCTCTTGTGTCTCCTAAACTGGCAGGCAGATTCTTTGTCACTGCACCACCTGGGAATACAGGCTAAAGCACCAAGCATCAGGGCCACCTGCTGAGAGAGGTTTATGGCCACAGGGTCATTTTCCAGTACCTGGACCTGAACCATCCTCTCAGCCTGCTCCAGTTTAAAAGCTTGGCTGAGACACTGGACATTTGAGAAAGTCAGCCTAAAGAACATGTTAACCATTCATTCCTCTAGCTTTTCTGAGCTCTATTTCTGCACTAGAGACAGTGTCCAAAATCTCCACCACTGAGCCATGGGAGCTCAGGCCCCCACAGCTAAAGTCCCACTAGGTGATTGTTCATTACTATACTTTCTGCATCTTTTTTCTCTTGCAGGTTGGCAGAAGACTTTACCATATAAATAATTTTACTTCACTTTCTGTAGAAATGAAGTTTAAGTTACATGACATGCTATTTCATTGGAGTATAATTAGTTGGCATGCACGCAGAGGTAAGCCCTCTACAAATGTTATCTGATTTATCCTTACAGGTTCTGTACACACTTGCCACCTCAGTGGCCCCCTCCCCCCTTTTTTCCTGTTAACTTGGACACAGAAATTCAGAGCTAAATTAAAAACTGAAAAGCAATAAGCACTTATTTCAGTTTAATTTACGCCTAAGACTTTGATCTCTCTTCCTTTATCATTTTTACTGGTCTCATCACTTTGTGGGATTTTTTTTTTTTTTACTATGCATTTACTGATACACGTTTCTGGAAGTCAATACTCTATAAACAAAAATAAATGACCAGAACCATCCATTGTAATTTCCTTTTAGTCTCAACTGTCACAAGAGTTTCCATGAATAGCTAATTTGAAGACTCCCCCTTGGGTATCACACCTCCGTCACTTGGAAACTCTGATAGTGTAATATTTCCCATAATTATCAGGTTCAGAATCTGTTTATGAAATGGGGCAAGGAGACAGGGAAGAGGTTGACTGACTTAACTTACACGTAGGGTAGCAGCCCAGGGTACTGCCTAATCTACCAGCAAGGGTATCGTGTGCTGGGTCTTGACAGTCCCATTCGCCCCTTCCCCAACAGCTACTTTTGCAGGCCAGCGGCACCACCGCACGCCCTTGGTCCCCTTGGGGCTGCCAAGGCCAAAGGCACTGCCAGAACCTGCTGAGTGAGAAGGCATTGCTATCATCCAGTGATGTCTGTTCCCTGGAATCTCACTCTCAGCACTGACAATGCCTCTGGAACTCATAAAGATTCTGCTGAAACCCAGGGAGTTGAAGGTCAGTGTCTTCAGGGAATGAAGGTAACATGTAAGACAAACTGTTTCTGAGGATTTCCAGGTACTCAAGGCAAATGCCCCCAGGGAGAACTCACAGAAATAACTCTGAGTTGTCACTACACAAAACAGGGCTAGCTTTCATATCAAAAGAGAGAAGCTGAACCACATACATATGGCACAAACACAGGTACAGATCTTGGCATACCCCATTGATACCCACGGAGATGCTTACTTAAGTATTTTGGGGAATGTGGGGTTTGGGCACAACCATTTATTTACTCAACAAAGATTTATCCAGCACCTACTGTGTGCTAAGCACCAGTCAAGATGCTAGAAAATCATGAGTAAACACGGCAGTCAAGACCCTTTTTCTCATGGACTCTACAGTCTAGACAGGGAAGACAAGGACTCGACAAGGACTCGGCAAGGAGCAACTGAAATGAACTCAGATACCAAATAAGACCACGGAAGAGGGACACGGAAGCAAAAACAAGGCCAGGGTTCTGAGAAGCAATGGGAGCCTGCCTTGGCTCCAACATCAGGGAAGCGCTCTTAAAAGAAGCAACACATAGTCTTACAGTACAATGACAAAAAGGAGCTCAAGAAACCAGTCATCTTTACTCTGATTTCCTTCAAAAAGATGAGCCTACTAAGAGGAAATGTGCAATACCATCTGTGGCTCCACACGCCATGTTTCAGCAACTGCAAAAATCCCAGGAAAGGAAAAGGATCCACGACGTTCTCCCCTGGGAAGGAAAGTTCAAGAAACCTCCTTTTCCCAAAGTTGCTGAATTAAAAGGGATCAGTCTTAATTTGCCTCTAGAGCAGAATTTGCTACAAAGAGTCTAAAGAGGGGGAAATGGAATGCTAATTTCTCTTTTAATGTCAGTTACTTTATAAAAAATCATTTTTCAATGTCAATAAAATTATGCCTTTGCATTGTAATGCCACCAGGAATTGCTTTATTTAGGAAAAGTCTATGGCGAAATTCAGTATCATTTACTTTCACTTGTTGAAAAATAGAAGCAAATCACATTTACTAGCAGAGGACACAACTTCAACATACAATTAAACTTTGAAACTCATTAAGAATAAGATTCTGATGATATCTATTCAACATGCACAAATAATAAATGACTGTTCACCAACGCCTTCACATATCTCATCTCGAATAAGTTGCTTGATATTGAATTTCTGTTAAAGTCAATTAAAACACTTAGCCAACTGTCATGAAAACTCCCGAAAACATCCACTGCTTAGAATACCTTTCATCAAAACACGTTTTTCATTCGTGTTTCCTAGTCCCTGCCTTGTTTCAGAATCAGAGAGGCGAGCAGGAGTGAATCAGGGAGCTATCTGTCACTGTGAATATCCAGAATGAACCGGTGAAATATTTTGACTAACATGGAATTTGTATTACTTTGCAATCCAGAGCATGCTACATATTGCTGCAATGTAAATATGCATACTAAAAGGTCAAATAATATAAAATTATTGCCCCAAAGGTCTACATTACCCAATATACTGATACTATTAGAAACTGCTGTGCTGTTATTAATACACTATCCAAGGAATGCTTAATTTCTTTAACTTCAAAACAGGTCTTTAAAACTGACTCTCACAAGCATCACAAGGATCAATAACATGCTAAAGGGAAGACTTTGTTTCATGTATTTACTAGGCTTAGTGTTTGAATCTTCACAAATTCTGTGTGTGAAAAGGGCGGGTGTCTGCTCAGGTAAACGCTTGTCTCTTCCTTCGCTTCACTTGATCAACTGTCATGATTCCAGACCCACCTTGAACATTTCCCATTTGTGGAAAATTCTACATTGAACCTTCCAGACCCCAAACACTCACCCCACCTCCACTGAAAACAAATCAAAAGACTTAAGATTCAACACTAGTAAGAACCTGATGATGGTCGCCGGGAAATAAAAAGGACCACATCCAGCAGGAGTGAAAACTCCCCCAAATGAGACCTTCTCCGAGGGGTGGAGGGGGTGGGGGAGAGCGCGCAGCTGGCACCACTGCGCGGATCGGAACCGACTCCAGACGGCCCAGGGGAAGATGCTGCGTCAAGAGAAGCGAAGCAAGAAGCGCGACCCGGAGGCGAGCGAAATCGTCCGCAAATCCCCAAGGAGGTGGGCAGACGCCAAGTCGCCAGGCGCGGGCACCGGCGCATGCCACCCGCGGGGTCCGTGCCGCCTGCAAAGCCCGGAGCTCCGGGGCAGGAGACCAGGGGGCTGGGGGACCCGCCGTCCCTTTAAACCGGCTCCACCGCCCCCCCACCCCCGCCCCCCAGCCCCGCTGTCTGCCAACCTTTTCCGAACCCTCGTGTCATAGAACTTCCTCATCATGGAAAGTTCCACTGGGTTCGGCGCCAAGGATGCCAAACTCCGGGTCACAAGGAGTCTGGCAACCAGCCGGGGCTTGGGGTCCGAGGGCCACGGCCGCCCCAGCCGCCCCGCTCCGCCGCTGCCCACGCCGCGGCTCCCCGAAGGTGCCCGAGGCGTAGGGCACCTCCTCCCCGCGGCGGGCACCCGGCGGCTGACACCCCACCCACGCCCGCCCGCGCGCTCGGCGTCGCCGCTCGCACCCCGAGGGGTTCCCGCGACACCCCCGCCCGCCCTCCGGACAGCCGGGACTGTCGCCCCCGCACCCCCCGCCTCCGCGCCGTCCTCTCGCCGAATTACCGGGGCGCTGGAGCCGGCCGGGTGGGGCGCCCCCGCCAGGGGAGGCAGCCTGCGGGCGCTGCCCGAGCCCGGAGCTGGAGGGCCGCTTCCCCGGCGCACTCGCCTTATTCATGCAAAGTTAATCCCCGCCGCGTCACGGCCGCCCGCCCGAGGACGCGCGCCCGCCTTGGCCGAGCCCCGCAGTCTCCACCCTCCTCCGCCCCCTCCTCCCGGCGGCGGGGTCCCGGGAGCGCGTCCTGCAAAATGTCAACTCCCCGGGCGGAGAGGGGCGGCCGGGCCGGGGCCGCGCCGCCCGCCGGGGCCGCTCCACTTTTATAGGCGCGGGCGGCGAGCGCGGCCGGGCCGCCGAGTCCCCGCCTCTCGGGCCCGCGCGCCCGACCCGCTCCGGGCCGCTGCCCTCCTCCGGCCCCGGCGCCCGCGCCGCGTCTGCCAGCCGGTGACCTGGTTTCCCCTCCGGCCCGCCCGGGCGCTCCGACTCGCGCGGCGGCGGCCCGGAGCAGGCCGGCCCGACTCCTCCCGGGGCGCCGCGAGGAAATGGCCTCCCGGCCGCGCGCCCCGGGCGCTCGCCGGCCCCCGACGCCCCCGCCCTCGACGCGCCCGCCGCGCCCCCCGGCCCCGTGCGCCCGGCCCGCGCCTTCCGGCTCACCGCCTCCGCACCTGCCGCCCCAGGTGCGGGCGCCCCCGGGCCCGGTCCGGGCCGTGCCCTCCACCCCGGAGTCCTCCCCCGGCGGCGATGTCGCGGCCGTTTTGGTGGCCGCGCGTCCACCCACCCGGCTGCGTGCGCAGGGAGGTTCGGGCTTGGGCGTCATTCCTCTAGTCGGCAGAGAGGAAGGGACGGGGGACGAGGACACGGGGCCGGGAGGGGTGACTCTCAGAAGCCCGGGCTCCGCCGGGCCCCGGCCGCCGCGCTCCTCCCTCCTTCTCCAAACCACTTGTGGCGCGTGTCGGGGCCGACGCGGCGCTCTGGCTCCTCCTGGGGCCTCGCTCCCGCCGGGCGTCTGGCGGTCCCCCCCCATCGCCAACCCCGGGGCTGGAAGTTTTGGAAAATACCTGGCTTGCGCTTGCGGGAGACACCCCCTTCGCACCACCTCGCACATCCTGGGAGCCAGCCACGGGGTGGAGACCCCGCACGGGTTCCAGAAAGACCGCCTGGCTGTTTTGTCTTTGCCCGGGACACGTCCAAATAAAACCCGGAAGACAAAAATAATTTATACTCTGAAAAGTCCTGCCCGAGTCAGATACGCACTTCTAAAATCCACCCCCCACCCTAGTCCTGAAGGCCGAGGGTCCAGGCTGGGAGAAGAGGAAGCAGGCTTCTGCGGTTCTGGGTTAGAAGCGTGCTTGTGAAAATTCTCGGTACCCAGGAAACGAAAATGTCATCGGTCAGAAGCCCGAGTTGCCAGAGAGCTATGTGGACGACAGGGTATAATGATTTTCTTACAGATAATATTAAAATAATTCCGACTTCATTAGTCAGTGTACACATGTATTAGCATAACCAACTGTTTTGACAGAGTTTTGACTTTTTTTAGCCTCACTGTCTGAACGAGGATTTATTGGAGAGTTTTCTAGATCTGCAGCCAGTGGCGTGTGTTCTAGTCCCAATTCTTGTGAGCATTCCGGGGAAAGGGACGAGATGCCTCTTGACACAACTGTCAAGAATTCAGAAACTGCCCTGCTCCGGGGCGCAGCGTTTGAGCGCTCGAGGGAGTTGCAGACCCCAGGGTTCCCTGGCGAGACGGAGGGACCTCTCCTTTCAGACTCCGAGGACCTTCTTTCCCCCTCGGTCCTTGGCAAGAAATCCGGGCTTTTTTTTTTTCTTCATGCTGAACAAGGCGGCACCCTAGGACTTGCAGGGTTTGTAGCCGGAGAGAAGTTGTTCTCCTTTTGCAGGGAAGTTCCTGGGCTTTGCTCCAAAGCAGCCCGGGATGTTTTGGTTGGTTTGGAGGAAAGCTGTGGCGTCTGCACCATTTGAACCAAACAGGCGGCCCTCTGGTGGCTAACCGTGGGCGAAAGGCTGGCCACTGAGGGAAAAGCCTGCCCTGAGAGGCCAGCACGGTTGACACCTGGTCTTCTCAGGGCCCTGGAGCCCCTAAAGCTGCTTTGAGAGGACAGGAGGTGGGTGCTAGGTTCTAATCCACTGGGGCTTTTTTTTTTTTTTTTAATTGAAGTATACTTGATGTAAAATATTGTGTTTAATTTTTGCTGTAAAGCAAAGTGATTCAGTTTTACACACCTAAACACTTTTTTATACTCTTTTCTATTATAGTTTATCATAAGATATTGAATATAGTTCCCTATACAGGACCTTATGTTTATCTATCCTATAGTTTGCATCCTCTTCCCGAGTATAACTGGGAGCTCACTTCCTTCTTAAGTAGAAAACATCATACAGAGAACGGAATATAATAAAAGCTGTTGCTTCCCTTTGTTCTCTGACTTTGTTTTTATGATCTCATTTGGCCTGGAAACTTCTGAAATAAAGAGTAAATGAAAGCTAAATAAACAATGTGGCATTATTCACGCAATTAATGAAGCAACGTTATATAACAATAAGTGAGGGTAATTTTATTTATTTATTCTTTGGCCACACTGGCATGTGGGATCTTCGTTTCTGGACCAATCATCCCCTGTGCCCTGTGCTGGGAGCTCAGAGTCTTCATCACTGGGCCTCCAGGGAAGGCCCCAGGCCAGGGCAATGTTGGTGCAGTGTTACTGAGACAGCGTGATTCCATCGGAAATCAGCCCACTGAGTCTTCCAGGCTGCGTCACAGTGAGGAAGGGTTACCAACAGGACATGGTGTTTGTTTTTCTAATTTTACACAAGGGGGTACATTGGAGGAGAATTTTACAGGGACTTGATTGAAGGCAGAAAGTCGCATTCAAATTTTAGACCACAGGGGCCTATGCTCCGATCTGAGAGGGCACGCCAAAGCTGTTCTCGTGACCTAGGCTCACCCTTCTCCGTAGCCACCATCATTACCAGGGGCTACAAATTGCAGGCTGGTGACCTGGTTCAAGGAAGCAAATCAGTCATACATTCATGTATTCATCAACTGCCGGGGTAAGAGGAGGAAAAAAACAGCATCCAGCAGGGCTGGGGTGACACGGCGGGCAGTGAGGCCGTGGTACCAAACAGGGTTCAAGCCTCTCTCTACTGAGCATTTTGATACACTGTTCATCTGGGGTAATTTGTTGCACTCATTTTGATGTTTAAAATATGGCATTAAAATATTGTCCCTCAACTACTGAGTTTTTTTATGTTCCTTTAAATTTTGCATTCAAAATGAAGCAAGAGCCTCATTTATCCCAGCCTGGGCTCTCTCTGCTGTGACCTAAGTGTTAGCAGAGTCTAACCAGAGAAGTAAAATTCAATTTAAACTAATTAGTATTTAAGATAATTAGTATATGGTAAGGAACTTCAGGGCTTTCCAGGTGGCTCAGGGATAAAGAATCCACCTGCCAAGCAGGAGACGTGGGTTCAATCTCTGAGTCGGGAAGATCCCCTGGAGAAGGAAATGGAAACCTGCTCTAGTTTGTCTGGGAAACCCCATGAACAGAGAAGCCTGGCGGGCCACAGTCCATGGGGGTCAGATGCGACTTGGTGACTAACAACAACAGAGGAACTTGATGTCAGGTTTAGAAACATGGGTGTGTGGGAACGGAAAAATGGGGAGATTTCACTGAACGGGGCTGCACTTAAACCAGTCTGTTAAGGACGGACCAGATTTCACCATGAAGTGCTGGAACCAGAAGTACCATTGTAGGCCCCAGAACCAGTGGTTTTCACTCATTCATTCCACAGCTGCTTCTCAAGTTCACTGTGCAACCAAATTACCCAACCCTGGAGCTCTTGATTCTATCTGTTGATTGTCAGTTGCTGGAATTTACTTTGGCTATGAGGGCCCCAGTGATTCTGGTTCATGGCCAGTCAAATAAAAATGTCAAGTCTGTCCCTGCCCTTCAGAGAAAAGACAGACTTAATAGGGAGATACCATGCTTAAAGTTAACGCTAAAAGTCAAGGTGCAATGAGAAATATATAAATGTAAATTACTAGGTAGTTGCTGGTGAGGAAGACTGGTTCAGGTGAGACTTTCTGTAGAAGGTCCTGGGTGGAAATTTGGGGAGAAGCTAGAGTAAAGAAAGGAGGTTGCCAGTTGTATTATTAGCAGGACCCAGTGGAAAATGAAAATGCAGAGCCCTTTATTCAAGAAGCAGGAAAAAAAAAAGTGCCACACTAAAGACAAAAATATATAAAGCTCTCTTGTTCCATGTTCTCTCTTTGGAATGATTATGGTATTTTTTATTTGCTATTTAATATCATTCTAAGTAAAGGAAAACAAGCATTTTAAATGACTAGCATCAATTTCACTGCTCATTTTTAGATCATGCAGTGCTAGTTTTAAGGGAAAATATAGGAGCATTTAACTCATTGCGAAATCAACACAATTACTCAATCTGTATTTTGTAGCAAGTATGTGCAGATACTTTGTGGTTTGCATATGCAGATATGTTTTGTTCTCACCAGAACAGTTGAAACACAGCACAAAACTGACTCAACGTTTTTTTTTTTAATTGAAGTATAGTTGATTTGCAATGTTGTGTTAGTTTCTGGTATACAGAAAAAGGACTCAGTTATAATACACATATACATATATTCTTTCCATTATAATTTATTGCAAGATACTAAACACAGTTCCTTGTGCTATATAGGAGACCTTATTTGTTTTATGTATAGTACTTTGCTAATCCCAAGCTCCTAATTTACCCTTCCCATCTTTTTTCCCTTTGAGAATCATAAATTTGTTTTCTATGTCTCTGTGTGTTCGGTTTTGTAAATAAGTTCATTTTTATCATTTTTTTAGATTCCACAGATACATGCTGTTATATGATATTTGTCTTTGTCTGACTTACTTCACTGAGAATGATCATCTCTAGGTCTACCTATATTGCTGCAAGTGACATTGTTCCATTCTTTCTGATGACTGAGTAATATCCCATTATATATATGTACCACGTCTTCTTTATCCATTCCTCTGTCAATGGACATTTAGCTTGCTTCCATGTCTTAGCTTCTTTATATATGCCCATTCTATCCATACTCCATCTTTGACTTATAGATGAATTAAGAAGGACTGCAAAGAAAATAAATTCTGGGTTGCCCTTTTCTTCTCTGTCTTCAGTTAGTTAAAAGAGGGAAGGAAAACAAGTAAGAAAAGACACGATAGGGTTCCTTGGCTGTTTTCTTTTTTTTTTTTTTTTGCATTCAGAACATGTTCTGTTTGGAACAGGAAACTTGGCCCCGTGGGTTGTCCCACTTAGCTGCAGATGTAACTTGCTTGCCTGGTGCCTGAGTTGAGCTGTGCTCACCTCCCAGACGTCGTGAGGGCATCAGGTTCTGTGTTCACGGCGCACCGAGACTGCCCCACGCGAGTGGGGTGGGAAGACCACGGTGGACACGTACCTTGTGTGGATCGCTGCTGCTCCAGACTTCATTTACAAAACGCAAGTTCAAAGATAAAATTACTAGCAGTTTCAAAATGGTACAGTCAGAGCATTAAACTAACTGCCAGGCCCCAAGCATGGGGCCCCGTGTGACTTCACAAATTCCATGTCCGTGAAGCTGGCTGGGGGAGAGGACTTGATTGTTTGCTGTGGGAGGAACCTAGGGTGTGCTGGAGAGTAAGCAGAACTTCTAAATGGCTGGTTATGGGAAGAAGTGGATGATAACAGTTGACATTTATTAAACTCGTATTATGTTTCAGGTATTGTCCTAAATACTTCAGACCCTTTTAAAATCTGCCCCAGAGCTCTGA